CCTGTGGTGTGGCTGATTCTTAAGCACGGTGGCACGGATGCGTATCAGAGTCGGGGGCTCCTCCACGTTTGACAGCACTCTGCATTCGTGGGGAAGGAAGGCAGGCGTGAGACGCCGTGCCCCTCACCCTCTGTCGTCGCTTTCCCTTCTGTTCCAGCGGTGGTGGCAGAGCTCTTCTCGTGGTGGTCCGGGGTGCACCACCTGCCTGCCTCTTCGAGAGCTTCATCCCCAGGCTGTCAGCGCTCTGGCTCCGTCCTCTATTCCCTGGGGTCTCACGTCGCCAGACCTGGTCCGCAGAGCTGCTCTGTTCTAACCTCCTTTTCCTGTTTTCCCAAATGAAGCGCAGAGAGGACGGTGATGTGCCCAAGAACACACTGTGAATGAGGGGCAGGGCTGGCACAGGACAGCAGGTGCCCAGCTCTGGGCCATGTTTGCACTCTCTGTAGAGCCATCCTGTTCAGCGTTCCCTGGGCATGTGTGGGCCCCAAACGACTGACATTCTTGTTTGACTGTTGGTGCTACTTTGTGTGTTTTTATCTAAGGCATCAACTCCACAGCAATGGATTTGGTTTGGGTTACTTTTTCGGGAGGGTAGGTTTATTAAAGGCAGCTGTCTCGCCTGTCATGTATTTTCATACAGTAGAGTTTATTTTATTGAATACCCTAGTATTTGATATATGGGTCCTGAGATGGTGGTAGAGTGACCTTTCTTGGTTACTCAGTCTCAGTGGCTCAGACGTTTGACTCCCTGGTTCATGGTCCCTGTGCTGCACCCTGCGTGGCCAGTCTCCCTTTTGTCTGAGAGCCTTGATCCGAGGGCCGTATGTGTTGCCTGTCTGTAAGTGTCCAGCCCGCCGGGCCCTGTTCTCTGGTGCATGCTTATACTGCAGCATCTCTCCAGCGTGACTTCACGCGGCTGTTTGTTGCTGGACCAGACCTCTCACGGCCACTCTGCTGTCATTAGCCTGTTACAGAGGCAAAGGTTCCTGAGAAGCGACCCTCACTACCCAAGTCAACCGCGGTCCCAGCCACCAAAGCTGGCTCTAAGAGCACCCAGGCTGTGCCGAGAGCCCCAGCAGCTGCCTCTCCCGCTGCAGCTGTGCCAGGCAGTAGGAGCTCCCCGATGCCTCTGACCAAGAGACCCACTGGTGAGTGCCATCTCCCCTGCGAGGCCTCCCATGGGACTCCAGGGTAACACACCCGTCAGCCAGCCTCAGTGTGAGCAGGCGGGGGTGGGGGGATGTAGAGGGGTGGTGCTCCTGGTCTTGACGAGAACCTCCATGTAAGGTTAATGATCCCATATGGTCATTATCGTCTCATGAACTACCAGGCAGAATTACCATCCCATTCTTTCTGACCCTGCGTGGCGGGGGTGAAGGAAACGGCCACTCAGTCCCACAAGCTTACACGAACAACCGCTCTCTAAGGTCACGTGCACAGGAGTATCAGTCTAAGGACCAGAGCAAAGAGGAGACAGAGCCCGCCCCTGGCCTTGCATGCCCCATAAGCTCAGGGTCTGTACACAACTGTCTGGTTGCTTCCAGAGACTAGCACCATGCCTTGCTCAGAGGGTACTCAGTAATGAATGGAAGAAATGAATTTTCATATTGATTGAGACATTCAGTCCATTAAAGATAAATCTCTGTCTCTGCAGCCAGCAAGACTGAGGGAAAACTGGCCGAGGTCAAGAGGGTGGCGATCAAGTCTGCACCAGGTAGTAATACTCCATCCTGTCTCTGGAAGCCCAACATGAACCCGCTCCATCTCTGTGGCTGTCCGTTCCCCTTGGGCCCCTTTACTATGTCTCCCTTTTCCTATGCCTTCACAGCTGACGTGAGCCGCTCAAAAAGCACCTCAGCTGCTCCTGTAAAGAAAAACACGGCTTCAACTGGGGCGGCACCCTCGGCAGGTGTGGCTCCACACAGAGTCAAATCCACACCGCTGCCTCCCCGGCCCTCTGTGACACCTACCAAGGACAAGAAGCCCGTGCCAGCCAAGTCCACTTCCTCTGCCGTCGGTCTGAACCGCCTGAGTACCAGCGCTTCCACCCCTGATTTGAAGAATGTCCGTTCCAAAGTTGGCTCCACAGAAAACATCAAACATCAGCCTGGAGGAGGCCGGGTGGGTCCCAGCAACTCGGGGCCCTTGGCATGCTGCCCCTAGCTTCTCCCTCTGCCAGAACCAGCCTTGTTCCCTGGGCATGTCCCAGTTCTCACACCAAACCAAGCACCTGGCAGGACAGCATGTCTGCGGCCCAGCTCCTTGGAGGGGAGCAGGAAAAGGCTGAGCTGAGCTGAGCACTGAGTTCTCCTCTCCCCCAGCTCACTCAGAGGGGCTCCTGTGTGCTGGGTGTAGGCGTATGTTCTGGTCTGTGTTCTGTGTTTCAGAACACAGGGGCCCCTGAAACAGAGCATTGGTGGGGGTCACCAGGCATACACCCTGGAGCCCAGCATTGACAAATGTCCGGTTTCTGGCCAGCTGGCACACCAAGCCTGAACCAAGGTGGCTGGCATCTCTGGAGGAGGACCCGGGTGCCCTCTTGTGGTCAGGATGAGTTGCCGCAAGCTTCTGACTGCTCATCAAATGGAACCCCTCCTGCCTAGGGTGCAGTGATAGAGAAAGGTGTAGCAGGCCACAGCATCTCGCTTTCAAGATTTGCTAGTTACGTGCACTCCGGGTTCGTTAGCTTTTAGTATCTGCAGAGCTCATTGTGTGGTGACAGAAGCCCATCTGCAGGTGTTCAGGTCCCTGAAGCAGTGACTCTCACCTCTGCCATCATTCTCTAAAACCTAAACCACCCCTCCCCCAGAGGAAGATACTGAAACGGCTTCCATGTGAAGCTGGCAGAAGGGACAAGGAGGGACAAAAGGGAGCGGAATCCTGTGGTGTCCGAAGTCCCTTGTAGTCAGCTGGAATTGGTTTGGGATTAGGGCTTTGGCTAAGAGGCTGCCTCTGCCATCCCAGCCTACTCGCCACCATGAGTACTGGGACGGTCGCCCCTCCCTGCCCTCTGTGTGCATTCAGAGTGTGACGCAGCTGGCTGGAGGACTGCTGGGAGGTTGCGTGACTCCCTGTCACGATGACAGCTTGCTTGGAGCATTCTGGAATGTTTGCACTGGAAGACAGTGTGATTTGAACACAACAGCCCCACACACGGGCACATTTGCACGCGAGTCAGGACCTTGTTCTGCTCAGCCCTCTCTTTGCTTTCTCTTCATGAATGGTGTCTTACAGCCCAGGTCTGTGCCCTGTGGCTCCTCTTCTGTGATCCTCTCTCCAAGGTGCTTGGCTTGATCCACCCTGAGAAATGGGTGTCTTCCCCAGGAGCCAGGCTGGCCTGCCCACTGCCTGCAACCCTGACCTGGACGCCACCTTCCCTTCATGCACTTGGGCTCTTCTCCCTTTGGCTTGAACTTGCCCTCCCTTTATCTCCATCCAGGCCAAAGTAGAGAAAAAAACAGAGACAGCTGCCACAGTTCGAAAACCTGAATCTAACGCAGTCACTAAAACAACTGGCTCTATTGCAAGTGCGCCGAAAACACCTGCCGGGAAAGTGAGTTTTGTCTAGACTTTTACCTCTGGACGGTAAAAGGTGATAAACTATCCTTCCAGCTTGAGCCATTGTTCCTCCTGGCACCTCTCCCCTGTCCTTAACAAGCCTCTGCTTCTCCCAGCGTCTCTCTCCAAGTAGTGGTATCAACCCTGAAGGTTCACTTGGGGCATTCTCATTCGGCTGGATGAAACTTGGTCAGTGCCCATACACTGACCTTTCTCTGAACACACATCCCCCCACCCCCTGCCCCGGCTCATGCAAACACAGACGGGCTCAGAGCACTGGCTCTTCCCCGTGAGACATGTGAGACACCGCAGCGCGCTCTCCTGGAACCTGGGCCCTGGCGCCCCATGCTTCAGGTTGTCAGGGAAAGTTCTTCTCATCCCGCCGGCGATGTGACCATAGCTGCCTTTGCCCTGCTCTCCTGTGAAAGCTAGGATGCTCAATACCAGTAGAAACCGGCGTAACGTAAGGGTGACCCACAGGATCCAGCCTAGGAAAGGCCCAGCTTAGGTGTGCCAGCACTGACGCCAAGACAAGGCCAGCCAGCACTCTGGGCCCCACGATGCTTGCACTAGGCACCTGCTTCCCCTGGCCATGGTAGCTGGGCACGGGGCCTCCTTGGGGTGGGGTGGCCTGGATCTAATGGGGGAGATGAGGGTTGCACCCTGACCTACCAGTGGATACTAGAGGTAGCATGGGCCTCTGGTTCCGACCAAGGCTCCTGGGGAGCCGTTAGCTCATCAGTTATCCTCATTGACATGGTAAATATGGCGAGAAATGGGGTGTCCGGGTTAGAGTTTCAGAGGGTGGGTAATTCTGCTCTGTGGAAGGCCTCAACTTGGGGGCGGCATCATTTGGACCGGGCAAATGAAGGATCTGGTAGCGTTGCTTCTTGAGAGCCCGATAAGGATCCTCTGTTCCAGACCTTCATGGCCACAGCCTGCCTCTGTGTTGGCTATTTCACGGGAAGCCACAGCTCCCCCTCCAGGGTCACTCTGACCTTGGACTGCATCAGTGCAGCCCTGTGCGGCACCTGCGTGCTCTCTGGACGTGAACCTTGGAGGGCGAAGGATTGAGATGGGGACATGGTTTTAATCTTGGCATCAGAAAAGAAGTCGAGACCTAGGCTGTAGCCTGGGCCCCAGTTGGTGTCCAGTGTTGATTTGGGCCTGAGATTGGACATAGTAGGCCCAGCCGCCTCTCTGATTCATTTGCATGTATATCTGAGCAGTGTCCCCTTCTTCCTGTGGGTATCAGATCTGTGCCGCGCTCGCCAGCTGCCCGTTGACTCAGAGCAGCCTTTGTTCCCAAACTGGGCTGCTGGCTGTGGCAGTTCCAGGCCCCCAGGTGTTAAGGCAGGTGCCTGCCTCGGCTAGGAACCCATCCAGATCAGCAGGGCCCTTGCGGAGAAGAATTGCAGGCATCCGGGTGCCCGCTCAGCACCCAGTGAGCAGTGGCTGATGGTGGCCACGTAGCGCCCGTACACCATCTGCTCCAGTCGTTGTGTTGTTTGTACTTGTTTTCACCCCCTTTCTTGCTCCTTCCGATCCTGCTCCTGTGCTTCCTCACTCCTGCTCTGCGGAAGGTGGGGGGGCCTTCTAACAACCGTGTTGGTCGTCAGATCCTGCGTGGACTCACTGCCTGCCCTGTGTCGGTTCTAACCAGCCCTCTCCCCGTGTGTTGTTTTTCTCTGTTCTCTAACACCCTAGGTCCAGATAGTCTCCAAAAAACTGAGCTACAGCCACATTCAGTCCAAGTGTGGCTCCAAGGACAATATGAAGCATGTCCCTGGAGGTGGCAATGTAAGTACGGGCTCCGGGAGGCTGGTGTCTGTGGCACAGCCACTGCAGGGTGTGCTGGGAGAGGGCCACCTGCCCCGCAGATGGCACCGCAGAGGCCTGGGCGAGGACTGTGCCCACAAAGCAGTCTAGGGATTGAGGGGACACTTGAGCACCCATGTGTCTTTGCTCTTGGTGGTGTTGCCACTCAGGACCCTCGAAGCCCTGTGAGGGTTGCGTTGGGTCCTCCCGAGACACCAGCGTTTTCCTCTTGTGCCCTTTCTCTGCTTTGTCCTCCCCGCCTTTCTTTTCTCTTCCCCACCCTCTCCTTTCTCTTGACCTCGACTCATTTTCCTTTCTGCTCACGTTCCCCATGTCTTCGCGTCCTCTCCTCTTACTTGCCCCTACTTTCCCCTGCCTCGCTCCTGCGCTCGCCCTGAAGGCTACATTGGGGACGTGGAGGTCCACATTGTCACGCGGACAGCTTGTGGCATTTTTCACTCAGGTTGTCCCTGTGGCAGTCCAGGCGGTGTGTGCCCAGGCTGCCTGTGGAGCTGTCCACTTGAAGCTTCGCCCCGCCCTGCTTCACCCACTACTGCTTTTCTAGCCCCAAGACAGCTTCTGGCCTGTCACCGGGCCTTTTCCTCACTGCCTGGTCCTTCTCTCTGGTGGGCTGCCCTCACCTAGCTCCATCCTCAGCAGTTGTACACAAGCCTTTCTTGCCCCCCCCTGGGGTCCCTCTTACCGCACCCCGCCAGTCATTCCCAGTACACAGTAGGGGCGGGGGCGGGTTGCTGGGCCCCTGGGGTAGTTGGCCAAACATTAGCCAGCCTGGTGGAGGCTCAGCCGAGGTAGGTAAAGCTTTTAGAGCCAGTCAGAATCTGAAGGGACTCAGGATCCAGCCTAGGAAAGGCCCACGTAGGTGCTGACCATGACCATGACCATGACCATGACCATGTGGGTGTGACATAGAAACAAGCACTTGTCTCCATTGTGCATTATGCCTCTGAGCTCTAGCTAGCATTGGTCGCCATTCTCGAGTGCCTACCATGGGAACAGCAAGCAACGTTGGTTGGAAGTGAGGAGCTGTATGTTTTTAGAGGCATTTTCTGTCAGTGCATTGAACACAAAGAGAAACTTCCCAGAAAGCAGTGTGGAAGAGGAGGGTGGACAGCTGCGGCCAGAGCTTGGACGGGGGTGCTCTCTCACTTCCAGGCTCAGTGAGCCCCATTCAGCGCTCCCTGCTAATAAGCAAACTGTCGTGGAGAGGGGCGGGCCTGCTGTGCAGACAGAACAGCAGTGTGCTCTCAGGGCCACCCCTCCCCCGGACAGCCCCTGTGGACGCCGGGAGAGTCCCTCTGCAGGGAAGAGGGACATGTGCGCATTAGGCCAGCGGCGGCCACTGCTTCTGTGGTAGGCCTGGCCCCGCTGCAGAGGTCTGGTCTCACCCTCGTGGGGCTGGGATGTGTGCACGTCTGCGGGCTCACTCCAGCAGGCCTGCCAGTCGTCACCGACCAGTGGGGCGAGGTGGGTAGTCACCCAAGTAGAACCAGAAGCAGGGAGTGTGGGCAATGTGGGGTGGGGGTGGAGGGTTGTGTGCCCGGAAGAGCGTCCCTGGGGCAGGAGCCGGGACCTCCCTGTGCACTGGCATTTGTGCAGCTGAAAGAGGCCGCGCTGTGTCTTTGAGGCTGTGAGCACTGTCGGGTAAATTAGGCGCAACTAAGCTTTGTTAAAGGCTTTTCATTGTGGAGAAATGTCGTCCCGGACCCGCAGGAACGTCAACGCAGACCCTGGAGGAGGGAGTGGGAATTGAGGGGAACAAGAGACACGAGAAATGGAGACAAGACAGTATTCTGATCAAGTCTCTCTTTATTGAGTGAAAGGTTGCAGTCTATATAGGCCAGAGGAAGGGAAACACCTGTCGCACATGTAAATTAAGCCACTTTGGTAATAGACCAATCAAGGAGTCCGGGGGAGCGCGCCTTCAGTAATGGTTTACAGTCTTCAACCAGGTACGCGAAGTGACATCATTTTATGCAAATCAGGTGCAGGCACTAGATATGTAAATAGGGTGAAGACAATCTCCTACCCAATCAAGGGGAAGCAGGATATAGGTGCTTTGTCACACCATGTATGGAAACCCCCTTATCTGTTTCTAGGCAGACTTGAAGGCTAAACTCAGCCCGTCCCAAGGACAGGCTATTCAGAGGGGAGATAACATAATCACAAAACTATGTCACGTAGGCGGGAATGGAAAAGTACTGCAAGCTCTGACAAAATATAGTGAAGATTGAGCCGAATGGCCCCGGACAAAATGTAAGTATATACAAGTCACAGAAGAAATCCTAAAACGAAACTGATGGGTCACCTGCCCAGCGTCAGGCACTGCACAATGGCCAGGGCCCTGGCTCCCTGTGCTCTCAGGAGGCAGTTCTGAAGTCAGTCTCCTACCTCGGAGTTGCCCACAAAAGTGAAAAAGTAAGATACCCTGGAAAACCACAAACTGACAGCTAATGTTAAACAGGTTTGCTTATTTAGTCAGGAACCAGAGAAGGCTCAGACATCATGATTGGCTCTGCACGTGTGTGTCAGGCCTCATTGACGCTTCAGTGTCTTCCTTCTCCTTAGCCCACCCCAACCCCCACCTCCACTCCTAGCAGTTTTTTCATGACAGCTGAGTGATTTGTCCTGTAATCTGATTTTTCCGCTTCTGTTTCCCCGGTTATGTGTAACATACTTCTCTCCTTTTGTTAAGTTGGGTGAAGTTTACAGACAGAGCCTCAGTTTCAGGGTCAGCCGTCCGCGCATATTTAGTTACATTACAGTCCTCTCACTGACCACAGAGCTCACTGCCAGGGGGTCATTCTGACACCTAATGCCCTACTGGGCCGGAGTCGAACTGCCCTTTGAGCTGTGAGGCTCGGGCGGTGAGAGTAGAAACCCTCTTTGTCCGGCTGCAGAGTGGATGGTTTTGAACTCCTGGCCTTGGGGTTACAGCCCCGTGTGTCACCACAGTGCCCCCAACTCCTCTTGTACAGTCCCCTCAGTGTGCCACCATCCGCCCTCCTCTTTCAGGGTTCCTGTTTCCATTCCGCCCCTTTCCGAATCATGCTGAACTTTGCCCTTGGGCAAATGCCGCCCCTTTCCTCTCCAGTGATTGATTATGATAAGACATATTTTTGTCCATCAATTTAATGTAGAATCATTCTGGTCCTGTTTCCCCAACTCATATGGATTAAACCTTTTTCATTTAAAAAAACAAACAACAGCCCCACTGCTGACAGCTGCCTTTTGGTCCCCGAGCTGCTAGTGGATGTAAACTGTCACCATGGAGTTAGTAGCCTCGACCACCCGAGGGCTCCGGAAAGGTTTCTGTCAGGAACCAACTCTTCTCGTTCTTCGGTTTGGGCAGCTGTTGTTACTGAGTACTTAGGTCCATAAGTTCATTAGGAGCACACAGGAGAGAGACTCTGATTTTAACATGCTTTCATTTATGAACTTGAATACATCTATAAATGTAAAATTCCCTCATCGACCACACGTTGAGGAAGGACTACACGAGAGGTGAACTTGTGGAGGCTTGGCGAGCATGCTGTCAGCAGAGTGTGGGATCCCCATCTTGGAGAGTCCCGGGCATCTCTGAGTGGCTGCTGTTAGCTCCTCCCAGGGCTTCCCTGTCAGCTGATGAGCTTGTCGCCATTGCTGCTGGACACACGGTGGACAGACTGGCTTGGTTTGAGCAGCCTCCAGATCTTCTGCTGGGAAAAGCAGACTTCCTTGTGTTTGTGAGGGACCAGGACAGGGAGCTCGTGCCTGAGGACCTGGTGAACAGGCCGTTTCCCATGACAGGGAACATGCTGCCTCGTTCTGACCTCGAGAGCACTTACAGGGGTTACACCCCCGTGTGGGGAGCTGCCTGTATTCTATCCAGGAGCCGTGGTGGCTCCGTGGGCTGCACATTGGGCTGCAACCCAAAAGGTCACTGGTTCACCACCAACTGCCCACTTCCATATGGATTTATAGCCTCGGAAACCCTACCAACACCAAATTCACAGCCAACCAGTCAGTTCTGACTCCTGGTGGCCCTGTAAGCAGAACTGCCCTTTGAGGGGTTCTGAGACAATAAATCTTTGTTTAAGGGACTAGAAACGCCTCATTTTTGTCCTGTGGAGAGGCTGGTTGTTTTTGAACTACCAACCTTCCCATCAGCAGTACAACTCGTAACCCACTATGGTACCAGGGCTCCTTGGAAACCCACCCTACCGGGAGATTCTCCTCTAACCCATAATTCAGGGGCAGTGGGTTTAGTTTGGGGTTTTCTGTTGAGGATAAGAAGGCATTGATTCTAAGAAGACAAAGGGGAGACCGTCTTTTTTCCGGAGTTTCCCCAGTGGTAGGAGAATGTTCGGCATCGAGCGGGTACTCTGGAAAAGCCTTTGGAGTGCTCGGCTCCGCCCCGGCACACTTGGTGAGGATGGGGTGGGGCTAAGGCTTGTGGAAAAGGAGTGGTGGCCTGGTGAGGTTGGGGAAGCCTGCGCTGAGTGCTAGCGGTGAGACTGAGGGTGGCACAGGCAGACCGACGGTCATAGGTGATTCTCTGGGGGGCCTGATGCTGCCTCAGCAGGGTAGAAACAGCAGACACCTGTCTGCCCGCCCTCATGAGGCCATATGTTTCTATTATTGATTAAATTGTTCTCCCCCCAAATCTGTTGTGTTTCTAGCCCTTGTGTGCCTGTGGGTGTGACTTTGTTTGGAAATAAGATTTTTATTTTTGTTCTATGTAAGTGGGAAGTCATAACGATGTAGGGTAGATCCTAAATCCAATCACTTTTTGTTTTATTTTAAAAATCCGAAAAACAAAACTGACCCCAACATACAAGGTGACGATGAAACGAGCCTGCTAGCCTAGGAATGCCAGCGATGGCTGGCACATGGAAGGGCCAGCCCCTGGGGCCACTCCTTCAACTGACAGCTCACCTCCTGAGCCGTATGAAAGTGAACATCTGTGTTTGTGATGTGGCAGCCCCGGTAACTAAGGCAGCCCTGGGAGATGACCGCTATCGAAGCCCATGTGTTAAGAGTGGGCCACCACCTAGCAGGATGGATGGTGTTAGAAAGCCAAGTTGCTGCCGCACCGCACCGGGGAGCCGACGGGCTGTGCATAGGCACCCTGGAATGCCCTCTGTGGTCTCCCAGAAGGAGCGCATGCCTATGGACGGTGGGTCCTGATTTAAGGACGTGCTGCCCTGTACCGATGTTTTCTCCACGGGGCACACATTGCTGAAAGTCTCCTAACCATCTTAAAGGCACGACCGAGGAGAGAGGACACCCAAATGAATCCCCAACCCCAAGGCCAACATTCATTTTTAATCCATAGTTGCACAAAGCAGTTCATCCTTTGGGGCAGCATTTCAGCTTTGTGAAAGGCCTGGTGAGGGAGGCGACTGGACAGGCGTGGTGTCTGCAGATGCCATGCTCCAGGCTGCTGGGTCAGGGAGGGCTCAACACATGGCCCGAACCCAGTGCGGTGGCACTGCTCGCAGATGGCTGCTAAGCATTTGAGCAGAGCTAGCCTTCATGATGAGCAGAGCGGCCGGAACCAGCCTGTGTCACCTGTATACCTGTTGGCAAGCTTGTTTTGTTTCTTTTTATGAGAGTATACTGAGCTAGGAGTATGTAAAGTCTGTCTGCTGTAGCATTTCTGGAAAATGGTTGGACAGTATTTTCCAAGAACCTCAAAACATCCTGACTGGGCTTCTAGCTCCTTGTAGGCATGATGCCTGAGGAAGCCATCGGAATTACAAAGGTTTACTCCTAGATACATTGATCACTGCCATGTTTATAGTAGTGAGAACTTGGAAATAAATAAATTCAGTATTAAGCATATGGTTAGGCGCATAGAGACTATCAGCAGGTAAATTATCATGTGGTTGCTTCTTTGCAGAGCTTTTGTGGGACGATCTTTGACTGCTTGAGCAGGGCTGCAGAGACCTTGCGTGTGCAGTGTACACATGACTGCTCTCAGCCACGAGCAGGGAAGTAAGAGGTTGGATAGGAAACAGGCCACAGGATTACTAAGCAAGAGGTTTGAGTGTGAGTGTTTGAGGTGAAACGCACATTTCAGGAGAAGCTTGAGGTTTGGGACATGTGAACATGGGAGAAGAGCTCCCAGTGAAGAGGGCACAGCCACCGGGTCAGGCAGGAAAAAGGTGTGTGGGAGACAGACGGGGGCAGCCCGAGGGTCAGAGGCAAAGAGCCAGGGCCGCCAGAACTCAAGGGAGAACCACAGTCAAGAGCCATGACCTTGAGCAGAGAGAACAAACGAGGTGGAGGGAGCATGTAGGCAGAGGGAGTCGCCCGATGGCCCGTCTCTCTGAGCTGGTGGTGTCGTCTGTTCTCTTCCTCAGGTTCAGATTCAGAACAAGAAAGTGGACATCTCCAAAGTCTCCTCCAAATGTGGATCCAAGGCCAACATCAAGCACAAGCCCGGTGAGTGGCACCCCCACCCCATGCCGCTGCGCAGGCCTACAGGCTACCATTCCACGGTTTTAGGGAGCCACCTCCCACCATCCAGGTCACAGCAGTGGGGCCAGCACAGTTAGAATCCCAGGAGGGAGGGAGGGCCAGGATGCTGACGCCTTAAGTGCAGGAGGAACAGTTTGTAAAGGCTAGCCTTCGCGTGATCTCCTCTTGAGCACCTGCTGCGTGCATGGTGGGCGGAACGCATGCTCAGCTCCCTGCAGGAGCTGCAGTGGTGTCCTTGCAACCTGCCTAGCCGGCTCAGGAGCAAGCAGTGCAGCCTCACGGGCCAGCACCAGTAGGACTGCGACCGGTGCCCAGGAGCACAGACCACCACTGCAGCACCCAGCCTGCCCCTCACCCCACACCTCACGCGAGTCCTGTCTCGCCTCTGACCCGCGGGAGGTGCCACTGCAGCCCTGGGGGCTCAGAAGGTCATCCACGGTGACCTTTTAGACTGAACTATATGTGTTCTGTTCAAAGAATCCAAACGGTTTGGCCTTTAGCTGACCTTTCTTCTTCGCCTTTTTCTGACAACTCCACAGAACTCATTCCATGAAGTGCTTGAGTGCCCTGGAGCCGCCCCCCCCTCGTCCCTCCCTGTGTTGTCATTGTCAAATGGCAGCTGCAGTCTGCGCTGTGTCGCCCCTTCTCTGGTTCACTTGTCAGGCTGTGCAGCCATTGCCCAGGTCATGCCACTTACTCCGCTGTCTGGGAATCCACTGCTGAGCTGCCCCTCCCTAGTGCCAGGAGGCGACCCGAGTGGTGAGGCCGGTGATGTCAGCTGAGGAGGGCCTGCGAAAGAAGGAGGCCCCAGGGAGGGCTGGCAGCCAGCTGAGGGACTCTTGACTATATACACATACATCCATGTATATGTATACGAGTGTATACATACACACGCACATGCTGTCACACACTCACACACACAGTAAACCCTGAACCTTGTACCTTACTTTGCTGTTTGCTTGGCCAGGGCTGGGGGCTGGGCGGGCTTGTGTCTGCCCTCCCACTGCTCAGGGCCCCTTGCTGCCGGTCTCTCTCCTCCTTGGTCATGTGCCTGGCCGAAAAGGGGCTCGGACAGACTAGTCAGCCAAGGCTCTTCTCTCCAGCAAAGTGTTCTTCACCTTGACTCAGTAGGGAGACTGCTGGAGAGCTCTGCTGCCGGGTGGGTCTCCCTCCTTCCCCTCTCCTTGCCTGCCCCCCCACCCAAGGAGGTGGGAGGGTGGAGTGCTGGCCCACGGTGTCTCCCCACTGCTTCTCAGAAAGCTTTCTCCAGCCACAGCCACGTTCACTGCGCCCTTCCTGTCTCCTCAGAGCCCCCAGACCGGTCACGGTCCCCCAAGACTAGATTTATTTGGCGAGTGGTCAGTGTTTGACCTTCGCCGCAGGAGTCTGTGTCTGTCTGCCACACGCACGCACGCAGTGA